TCTAGTATCCTTTCAAGAAGCCATTAGAAATTGTGATTTATAAAGTGATCTGGAAATGAGAGAACATGACACAGCAGAGAAGGATGACTAACTGGGATGATAGTCGCACAGGCAAAAGCAACATGCTCATCTTGGAACAGTAAGTTGGATATTCCCGAGAAAGGATGTTGACTGATGGTTTTGAAGAGAAAGTTACATGACTTACAGATTGTGGACTATGATTCTAAGTATACATTGAAACTTAGAATACCAACCCAAGGTGGGGGAAAAATGAGTCTAGGAGAAGACATTTACTATCTCTTGCTAATAAGCAAATAAAAAAAATGTTATATACTGAGCCATGAATAATGTTCACAAGTTCACAGTCATGCAATATGACAGATTTATAGATAACACCCTGTTGGGAAGATGAAAGGTAAAAAAGAATAGAGGTGGGAGAAATGGGGAATGAGGAAGAATACAATCTACTTTTCCATAGTAGAAAGCCAGAAGATAATATCAGAAACAAAACCACTTAGAGACAAGCTATATACCTGTTTAGAAATGTGGAAGCAAACAGGAAGGAGAGAATGGATGGATGGATGCTGGAAGACTGAAAATGACTATGACTGGACTATAACCTTCTGCTTAAGGAAAAGCAAGACAGGAGAATACAGAGTTTGGTTACAACAAAAGGGATTCAAATAAAATCTCTCTCTCTCTCTCATACACACACACACACACACACACACACACACACACACACACAGAGTGTACTGTACCAGCAGTCTGAGTTCACAGCTGTTTTGAGGTAAAGTCTAAAGACATGGCACTCCACAAGGAACTCTGGGCTCTCTAGACTGTCTTAAGGGTTACCTGGGAGTGAAACTGAGATGTCAGGGAAGTTAATTAACTTTTCCAAATTTACTCGTCTGGAAACCGAAGACAATTATGTGTGTGTGTGTGTGTGTATTGAAAACAAACAAAATTCAACCATCTGTTGTTCTTGAGAAAAAGGACACTTGTCAAGGTTATTCCTGTTTGAACCAAAAAAATTTTTTTCCTCTTATGTACGAAACCCTCACATCTTTTAAACTCCTATCTCGTTTGGGGCCCCTCCTCGAGGTGTCTTTTGCCAATGATGCCTGAAGTTTAGCGTCTGGAGGAACGGAAGAGGAAAGGGAATGGAAGGGGGCTGCGGTGGCGTTAGGATGAGCGTCCAGCTAGTGCTCAACTAAGGGAAACCGCCTCAGAGGCAGGAGAGAAACTGGGAGGAGCCCAGGAGGTCAAGGGCTGGAGCAATAAAAGTTTCCTCAATGGCCGCCCAGGGATGTACGTTGTCCCTGTGGCTGTGGCTGTGGCTGTGGGCGCCCCTGCTGCTACCGCTGCTGCGGGGGGCGCGAGCTGCCGCAGCTCGATGGAGTGGGCCAGGCACCACGCCGCATCTGCAAAGCATCTTCCTGGGCCGCTGCGCTGAGTACACGACTCTGCTGAGCCTTCAGCCCGGGTAAGTGCTATGCCAGAAAGGGAAAAGGGAGAGAGGGTGGCATTGGGAAGTCAGGCAGAGGGATTAGCGGGTCCCCATGCAGGTAATGTGTTTGCGATTCTCAGGGACAGGGACCTGAGTGCAGAGGTTCTCCAGGTCCAGGAAGAGATTGTAGATGAGGCTGTCCTGCCCGAGAAGAAGTGAGAGAGCTGTGTGTGGGAGCACAAATACCAATCTAGAGTTGAGTTTGAGTGACTGTGCCTCTCCAGCCAACAGAGATCTCTAGCAGCAACTGCTGACGCAACTGCTGCTTTGGGAATTTCAGGTCCTCCAGTCTGGAGTATCTGAAGTTTCTTTTTCTCCTATGGCTAAAACCCTCACTTCCTCCAAACTCCCATATCCTTTAGGGCCCCTCCTCGGAGGTGTCTTTTGCCAGACGATGCCTCAAGTTTAGTGTCTGAACAAAAGAAATAAGGGATGGAGAGGGAGCATAGTGGCATTAGGAGGAGCTGCCTGGGGACTCTGGTTTCCTGTCTTGTACACATTGTGCTTCCTACTTTATTTTCCTCCTTTAGACCAGCTTTTTGTGTTGTTACACTATCCCTTTCTTGTGCCAGTTGTATTTATTATTGAAATGTTATACATTTCAATCAGAGAGAGGGGGGGGGAGAGGGACAAGAGGAGGAGGGGAGGGAGTCGGAAGGGGAGGGAGGGAGAATAACAATAAGGAGTCACTTTGTCACCACTCACCAAGGGGAAGAAAAAGGGACTGTTGCATAGGAAGTGATTTTGAAAGGTGGCTTTGTACCTCAGGAGTGAAAACTGCCTCCGGAGGACATTCTGCCTCAGCAGAAGAAGCCACTCCCAGCACTTGTCATCCACTTCTGTCTTTGCAAGTCTTGCCTCCTGACCTGGCCTTGTGAGTCCAGAAACCTACCCTCCAATAGACCTGGACAATGGCCACCACTCTTGTGTCTAAAAGAGTAGACAAAAAGCAAGAGATGTGTTTCAGTGGTGGAACACCTGACTAGCATGGCCCTTGCGCTCTCTCTCTCTCTCTCTCTCTCTCTCTCTCTCTCTCTCTCTCTCTCTCTCTCTCTCTCTCTCTCTCTCTCCATCTGAAAACCAGAGGCTGCATAACTTATTGAAATTGAAATTGTCACCTTCAGCCTTTAATCCCAACATTCGGGAGGCAGAGGCTGGTGGATCTCTGAGTTCAAGGCTGGCCTGGTCTACAGAGTGAGTTCTAGGTAGCCAGGCCTACACGGAGAAACCCTGTCTCAAAAACACAAAATAAAACAAATAACAAAAAAAAAAAAGAAAGAAAAGGAAAGGAATTGTTACCTTCTAACTGTGCTTCTATCTGTGGCCTGTTCTGTTATGTCATGAGCATGGGAAAAATGTATTGCTTAGACTGGAGAACTCTGCTTTTCCTCTCACAGTGGAAGTGTTTCACAGTGCGTTGTGGTGCATTTTAAGTTTTCATTTTATAATATGCACTGTGTGTGTGTGTGTGTGTGTGTGTGTGTGTGTATGTGTGTGTGATGTGTCTGTGTCCACACAGCGGCCAGATGGGAACACTAGGTGTCTTGCACTATAATTTTCTAACTCTTATCATCTTCTAGTTCTAAAGCTAGAGTTAGTCTGGCAGCCAGCAAACCCCAGTCATCCTCCTGTTTTCACCTCATGCAATGCTGGGGTTAGAGGCACAGGTAGCCACATGGATGGGGGTGGGAGGGAGTGGAAGGGAATGGGGAGGGGTGGGCATTGAACTCAGGTCCTCAGGCTTCCACCACAAGAGCCTTGCCTTCTGAAGCCTCTCCCCAGCCCTGACTGGCGCTTTTGCACAGGAACAAAAACTGCACAGCCATCTGGGAAGCCTTCAAGGTGGTTCTAGACAAGGACCCCTGCTCTGTTCTTCCCTCAGACTATGACCTCTTCATTAACCTCTCCAGGCACTCCATTCCTAGAGACAAGGTAAGGACAACTGCCTCAGATATGACCAAAACATGTATTTTTCAAGTTTATGCTGCATTTTTTTCTGATTCTTTGTTGGTAAAAAGCAGATGCATAATTTAGAATTGTACATCTCTCAGAGGTTTAGTGAGCTAGCTGATGATGTTGTATTAAGGGTTAGGGATAACAAGGAAAAGGCAGTACTTGTAGCCCTTCCAGTCAACAAAGAGACTGGACTACTGAGGACCAGATGAGACAGCTTCCAGGGATATGGTTATCTGTGCTCTATTAAGACACTTTTACCATGGATGGTACCAGGTGTGCTGTAAAGAATGAGGTGTTTTGAAGCACTGTGCACTCTAGAAAGGGCATCACAAAATTGCCTACCACCCTAATCATAGTTACAACATGAAGCCAAAAGCTTCTGCTTCTTATTTTCCAAACCAAGCCTTGGTCAAAATCACACATCTAACATAGGACAGAGCCAGGCTTCCAGTTCTGGTCCCTTAATCATGGTACTGAGAAAGTATGTCATTATTGTCTATATCAGTGGTTCTCAACCTGTGGTTTGCAACTCTTTTAACCAACTGCTATCTCACAAATATATTTACATTATGATTCATAACAGTAGCAAATTTACAGTTACGAAGTAGCAATGAAAATAATTTTGTGGTTAGGGGTCACCACAATATGAGGAACTGTATTAAAGGGATGCAGCATTAGGGGGGTTGGGAACCACTTGTCTGTGTTGTATGTTCGCAATACAGGGAGGAGAGAGGCAGCACTCTCCAAATGTGCAGCAGCCACAAGGAAAAAGAAGTAGGTTTGAAGCAGGTCCAAATTCCATGAGGAATAGCTGCTGATTCGTCTTGATGGCAAACTGCAATGTTTTCATTTTCTCTTGCATTTTAATTCCTGGTTATTTCTCATCAGTCGCTGTTCTGGGAGAATAACCACCTACTCGTTATGAGCTTCTCAGAAAACACCCGTCGCCTTATGCCCCTATGTGATGTTCTGTATGGCAACGTTGGAGATTTCCTGAGTTGGTGCCGACAGGAAAATGCCTCTGGTAATGTTTTGCACACATTACCATAAAGCAACAACTCCTCTACCTACAAATTTACCTTTGATGCTGGACATTTTCATATATATACATCTCATTTAATCCTTCCCAAATCCTCTGAGATAGGTGGATAGATTACTATTATCTATAGTAATGGATAATAACAATAATGGGTAGAGTGTACTTGCCTTTGCTGCAGGCTAGTAAGTATTTTAGACACAGTAGTTCTAGAATCCACACATTATCCTCTATGTCCTATCATTATTCCTAATTTGGCAAGCATGGAAACTGAGGCATGGAGTGATTAAAGGAGTTGCTTAGGAATGTCTATCTAGTAAGCTATGTGATCTCACAATCTGACCTCAGAGCCTATGATTCCAATCCAACAGGACTCTGCCTTCATCTCTTTATTTTCCAGAGGGGAAACTGAGGCTCAAAGAAAGTAAATGCACTGTGCATGTTGTTCAGAATCCATGCCAAATATGGGATTAGCAAGTACTTTACATTAATGCAGTTTCCAATATGAAATGCATTTGCGTGCTCTTCTCCTAGGACTTGATTACCAGTCCTGCCCCACATCAGAAGACTGTGAAAACAATGCTGTGGACTCCTATTGGAAAAGTGCATCCATGCAGGTAATCCTAGGATGGGTGAGTGAGTGTTGAGCATGTGTGGAATCTATGAACTTGACCCCAGGCTGTTACTTAATTTTGGTGAGTCTTCCTTTCCACTTTAATAATTTCTCTGACTAATTTTCTCTGCTCCACAAAGTTGTGAGGATTTAAGGAGATAAGATATTTAATTCAGAGAAAAACGTTTTGCAAACATTAGCTATACATGGGGATAGTGCATTGTCATCATTTCTGCCACACCGAGATTGCGTACTTCAGGTACTTCCTAGTGCTGTGTAAAATGGAGCAATCTCTACTTTACCAAAGAAACTGGGACACAGGAGACTTAGACGTGGGTATCAGAAATGTTCACAGAGTATCATTAATGGGAAAAGAGCAGGTAAGCTACCAATAAGCTGGTGCCACAGAAGTGTTCCTAAGGTTTGTCTGTATCTCAGAGGACATTGCCACAGAGTTGATGGTGGCTGTCAGCAGCTATAAAATGATGTCATTTATAGCTCACATTCCCTGTCTCAAGCATTGGACTAAAGATTAGAAATAAGGAGGGTTAAGTCTTTAAAGGCTGATGATTAATTGTCAATCATGCTGACCAAGAAGTAAGTAAAGGACAGTGTACTTCTGCTCCTCCCCTTTCAGAAGTGATGTGTGCCTGCCTCCCATTGCCTGCTTTGCTCTCCAGGTGTTCCATGGGTCCACTGACTGGGTGAAGGACTTTAATCAAACCTTTCACCAGGGCTAAGCACAAAGCCTCATGCTGAGCACTGTATACTCCTGCCAGCTCCAGTGGGAGCAGTGTTTGTTCCTACTTTCCCAGGGCTTCATCTGAAATACAATCTCCAGTAGCTGCCAAAGTCTGTTATTGGGAACTGGAAGGCCTAACACCTCTATAGAAGTGACACAGCAACACTGTCTGTAAAAGAACTGTAACTAAGATGGCTCAGCAGTTAAAAGCAGCCAAGGTTCAAGTTCCAGCACATGGCAGCTCACAACTGTCTGTAATCCAGCTCCAGGTGATCTGACACCCTCACACATACATGCAGGCAAAACACCAATGCATATAATAAATAAATCAATCATTAAAAGAGAAAGACCTGTCAACAGGTACTAAAACTACATTTGAGCGACAGAGGCAGGCAGATCTCTGTGAGTTTGAGCCAGCCTGGTCTACACAGCTAGTTCCAGAACAGTCAAGGCTACACAAAGAAAGCCTGCCTTAGCCAGGCAGTGGTGGAACACACCTTTAATCCCAGCACTCTGGAGGCAGAGGCAGGCAGGTCTCTGTGAGTTTGAGGCCAGCCTGGTCTACAGAGCAAGTTCCAGGACAGTTGGGGATGTTACACAGAGATACCATGTCTGGGGGGGAGAAATGGGGAGCAAAACCTGTCTCAAAAAACAAACAAACAAACAAAACATAAAGAAAGAAAGAAAGAAAGAAAGAAAGAAAGAGGAAGGAAGGAAGGAAGGATTGTAGTACATGCCACTATGAATCTGTCTAACTTTAAGGTGTGTGTGCCAACTGGGTTTTATTAATGGAAATTAGTATTAGTGTCTCCATTTTTAAGGCCTTAGAATAAACTACGTGGCTGAAACAAGAGCAAAGCTAATCCAGTATAGTAAAGACAAGGCTTGACCCTCATAAGCAGTCAATACACATTTATTATTCTTTTGCTTAAATTAGAAATAATAAGAGGAGGCAAGGCACAAGATAAGACATATTAGACATGTTAACCAGTTTATTATAGGCCCAGCAGAGTAGGGAGACTAAAGGAGAAGAGAAACGGTAAATGGCTGATCACCATGGCCGGTCGCCATAGAGAGAG